TGAGTTTCTCTATGACTTTTGGGCTGTGCTGATGGGCATAGTCCCTTGTTTGGATCTGGGCATGCTATTTGCGAAGAAGGAGTTTGTTGAAGGCCCAGGCAATACTGGGTATCTCCTTTGGGTCTGATGTAGGCCTACTATAATTTTTTGTGTAATATTTGTACTTATATTCCTCATATGGTTTGTAATAATTTATAATAAATAATTTGGGTGTTAGTGAAATTGGGGAAACAGTATATTCTAATGTTTGCATGAAAGGGTAGAAAACATGCCTATAGGATTCGTATGATTTACTTGTTATTTTATCCAACCTACCATATATGCTATTTGAATTTCCATATAAACTAGTAGAAATCATGCTATTAGGGGAATCACACACTCACACAACTTGTTTACTATAAAAGCATGAGCTTAAGTACTTTATTTATTCCCATGTCCACTACTATGTGTCACTAGACATCATGCCTATAGGAAACAAATGCCAATAACCATCCTTCAATTTGCATAACGGCAACATGTTCATTAGATACCATGCCTATAGGATTATATTAGCTTATGCTCTACTGGTCCTCATCTAGATATCATGTCCATAGATTCTTAATTGATTCATCATCTACTATTATATCTATTATTGTTCGCCTAGAAAATATGCCTATAGGGACGAAGTATTATATAATCAGTTTTCAACTGCCAACTATTAGAACCTACCTATAAAATACTACTACTTGCTTGGAAAGCATGCCAATAGGATTAAACACGAGTAATTCTGAGTATTCCCAATGGTTTTCATTCCCCCTATTGCGTAAATCACTTAGAGACCATGTCTATAGGTTTAATAACTTATAATCTTTAATCTCAATAAACAGCATAACAGTACCAGATACTCTTAAACTGAGTAGTTGTTTAGAGACCATGTCTATAGAGTTTAGCGACTTCAATTTGCCTCAATTCTGAAACTGTCTAGTGCCTAACGTAGAGATTTGTCTGTGTGCATTTGTTGTCTAAGTGTGGAGGCTAACTTGAGCCTTTAACTGTCCTTAAGTGAAGTCCTATTTGTTTTGAATGCCGCTTAGTTTTATCATTTTGAGCAGCCTAAGTAAAGTCTAGAACCACCCAAATAGTGGTCCAACGTCTTCTGGACCATAGGCATGGGACAAGTAGTGCACACATAGGACGCGACCTGGAATTGAATTAGAACGCTCTAAGTAAACAACTTCAACATAGTAATCGGGCAACATGAGATGATAGTCTGTGCCCGTTGAATAATATGAGCAACTCCTATCTAAAAGGAGTTGCAAAGTATTATTTATGTTGCACGGGATGATCCTTTAGGCTAAAAAACTTAGGACCCCTTTTTTTGTTTTCTCTTTATACACTTAGTCATCTAATATAGACCGTTATAGTTGTATCCTTGTAGTCCTTAAGATTTGTACCAATTCTCATTTTGTTATAATGAAACTCTTTGACCTTTTATTCTCTTTGTTTATTTAATCATCTTGCCTAATTATAATCCACATTGTCTTAAGTGTAGCCGGGACCCACAGTTGTGGACCTCGAAGAGTGCCTAATACCTTCTCTTTGAGGTAATTTGAGCCCTTACCCGATCTTTGGTGGCGTTGGCTTGTCAATCAGAGTTATCTGCATAATAGGTGCCCTAATGCACCTTAAACATGATTAGGTGGTGACTATTCTTCTTTTAACACTCTATCTCCTATCAAAAAGGGTTGTCACACGCCGAAACCCGATTTCGCGAGAAAAAGGGGTGCGACAAATATAATAGTTGTCAACCACAATTAGTAGGAACTCAAGAAGAGTATGGGTGACTTCAATATACTTTGGTATAGAGTTCACCATTAAAAGAATTGCAGGTTCAATGTTCATTACACTATCAGTGGTTTCATCAAAGAAAAGCCAATCATAAAACAATGCAAGCTTTATATTTGCTTCGATATAACTCTTCCTGCACGACTTCAATAGCCAACCAATCACAGCCCATCTGGGTAAGATGTCTGGTTGCATAATTTCACTGGATGGACGAACTGAACAGCATATAAACCTAACAATGTCAGTTAAAATAGTTTCTCTCTCGGGGTACTCTAAGGAACTTCTTAGCAAACAAAACCTGGTACCTCTTTCGACTACCCAACTTGACATGTGTAAGCAAAAACCTCAATTTGGTTTCCATTTCAGGAGTTGTTCGAAGCAAAAAGTACAAACTTAGAGTTCTTATGCGGTAAATTTGTGAGATATCTTCAAATCCGTCCGCCCTAAACTGTCTTGGATTCAATAACAAGTCTTTCCATATGGATTTAAACTCAGGTATATGAACCAAGTCTTGCAAAAGCCTAATTAAGTCCATCCCTATCTTCAAACACAAAGGAAAGTGTTCCCTCAAAAGTCGAACACAGAATTCAACCTCCATTCTCTTCAATGCGTCCATCATTGCATTACTTGGTACCCTATAATGATCGGCCAATAACCGAAGGAACACATACAACCCCTTATTCAAAACCAATGGTTATTCCTCTAATTAATAATCCCAATTGGCTAAAAACAAAGTAACCATCTCCAAATACAACCACAAATTGCCCTCACTAAAATCTCTGCCAACAATTTGCCTTAAAATAGCCACTAGCAATTTATCAAAACCTATAACTAATACATTTAAAATTTCTTTAGTAACCCATATAAGCTGAATTTTCACTATGTCAAGCAACTTTGAATACAATTCATCAACAATATTGACAAGAATACAAGTAAAGAAACCATACCCATCAGTAATAATTGCATGTAGGTGCTTAATATGAACTTTAGCCAAATGGGGTTGGGATAAAATGCCAAAGATTAAAGATTTATTAATTTTTTACTATTAGTCTTGTGTAAGGACTTTTAAGGAATATGGGGGTTTAAGAAGCTCAAAAGCTTCTCTAAGAGACACTTCAATTGGGTTTTCAGCTTCATGAGTTCCTCTTTGGATAAGTTTTAAGGCCATCTATCAAGCAAAATAGATGCAAGAAGAATCACCAAAAACAGCTACATAAGTGTACCTTGAACTAAATTTTTTACAGAGACCAACTTATGCTTGAGCTTCGCCGGAAAATTACCACCGGCTGGGCGGTAAGCAGAGGTTATGTAGGTACGGCAACTTGCCGATGGTTTGCTCCCTTTTTAACCTTTTGTTTCTTGCTTTTATTTTTTATTAATCTGTTTTAAGAAATATTTTGAAGATTCACTAGAATGAATAACAATATCGCTAACCCTGGCCGAAACGTTTTCTCTTTGAGAGGATGACTTAAGAGCCTTGTATGGGCTAAAAATTATCCTAGTTATGTGTGGGCCAAGTAAACATTAAGAGAACTTTCGAAGGCTGTCACACATCATCGATGTATTTTCAACAAAGGACGAAAATGAGGTCGAAGTGATTTGACGAAGGACGAAGACGAGGTCGAGTTGATTCAGTAGAGGGACGAGGACGAACACTCCTTTTAAAAGGACAGTAACGGCTAGTTTTAGAGATAAGATATTATAGAGAGTATTCTAGGGGATATTCCTCCATCTGAACTATTAGGACTTTGTGGCCCATGTGCCTTTATAAGTAGAAAGATATGTAGCTATAGGGGGAATTGGACACTTATTGTAAAACACAACACATTGACATTCTCTGAAGATTCTTGCTTTATTACATACATACAAAATACACTTTTTCTTCGGATTTGTATCTGGCTTTTCTTCCACAGTCGAAGGAGAATCCGAATATTCAAATGCTCATCAATCATTTATCATTGTCAGGAGGAATATGAAAGAATCTCATCCCTTTTTGGTTATCTCACTTGCATTTAATCACATAAATGTCATTATATATCAGTTATTACTATTTAATGGTATTCGCGTTATTCTTGGGTCAATGAATATTGTTCACTGTTGCACATTTATAATTATTTGAACGGTACTCGTCATATTTTGCTACAAAATCAGTTAAATAATCTTTTGGATATTAATATTGGCTAAGATTAACTCTATTCTATTAGAAAATTTAATTGTTTAAACCTAAATCTAAATTTTGGGTCAAGCAGTTTGGCGCCGTCTGTGAAAATTTTCTCAGCCAATTTTTTAGTTTCCACTAGATCAACAACTCACGTGACTTGTTAATCTAACAAACCATAAGGTTTATCTATCCTCTTTGTGTGTACAAACATTTTCATGGCAAGTAACCAAGAAAACTGGATGAGGGCAACAGATAACATTCCCCTTAAGCTTATGAATGTCGTCAACGAATGCAATGACACACATGGCGAAGAAGTGACGCACACTGCCTCCCCCAAGCGAGAATGGTTGCATGCCCCTTTCTGCAGCACACCAAAACCAAATGGGAAAGGAGCCTCCATGTCTATGGGAGAAGGGATGTCACCTGCTATGAAAAAGCTTCTCGAAGCATGGCTAAATGATACTCTAGTCAGCATACTTAGTAAACAAGCTCCATGTACAACCACAGAAAACACGAGAGTCCATGCAACACGAGGGGATGAACAAGACGACCAACCAGATCCTCTGACTTAAGATAAAACTCATAATGTTACTGCAATGCAGGTGATAATGTCATCGCCTTTGTGCTTAAAAGAATAGGAGAAATGGAGAACAAAAACAAAGCACTCAGAGACCAAATGAAAGAGCACTAGGAAAGAGTAAACAAAATACCTGGCGCCCCCAAATTGTTGCCAAAAAGGGATGTCGGTTGTTTCATAGAACATCCATACAATGAGGAAGTGGCTCCACACGCCATACCAAAGACCTTCAAGATTCCCCCATATCTCAAAATATACGATGGGATGACCGACCTCGAAGATCATGTGACTCACTACGTTACCGTTGTGAAAGGCAATATCCTCACCAAAGAGCAGGTGTCCTCCATCTTGCTGAAAATTTTTGGCTAAACCCTCACTAGAAGGGCGTTGACATGGTATTCACAGTTACCGGCCCGATCCATAAAAACGTTCAAAGAGATGGATGATAAGTTCATAATGGCACATGTTGGGGCCAAGAAAGCTGAAACAAGAGTAAATGATATCTTTGCCATCAAGCGATCCCCAGGAGAGGGATTGAGGGACTTCCTCACCCGGTTCAACAGGGTGAGAATGACCTTGCCAAATATTTCCGAAGGAATGACCGTCGCAGCCTTTCAAAATGGGTTGAGTAGAGAACGCTCGAGGCTACCAGAAAGCTACTGATTCAGTTAATGAAGTATCCACCGACCACTTGAGATGAAATCCATAATGCCTACTGTGCTGAGGTCAGAGCAGACGACGACGACCTCAATGGACCAACCCGGCGACTCACCTCAGTACAATTTGCACCCAGGAAAGAACGCAGAGATAATATGAGGAGAGATTATCCAGTATCGCGGCCAGGTAGGGAACGACACCAACCCTATATCAATATACCATTTTCCACTTTTTGTTATGAAGACGGCCCGTCTAGACTGAGATCAGAACCTCACAAGAAACACAAATATATGCCTCCCTTATTATATGCTCACAATTTTTGTGTATCGCCTATAGAAGTGGTCTATTCTCTCGAGAGGCTCTGAACAAAAGTCAAGTAGCCACCCAAGATGAGGTCGGATCCAAACACAAGAAAATTTGATTCCCTCTATGAGTTCCAACAAGAATGTCGACATAAAACAGAAGATTGCATCGCTCTGAGGCTAGACGTGACAAACTTACTATAGCAAGGGCACCTCAAAGAATTGTTCACCGACAAGGGCAGGAACACCTTGGCGACGGGTCGAGAATGTCCAGGTCCACCAAATCCCCCTTCACCAGCTCATACAATCAATATGATTATTTGTGGCAGCGACAACGCCTCTATCAAAGACATCAAATTCACCGCCACCCACAAGCTCAAAAGATCGATCACTCACGAACGGTATGACGGTCTCGAAGAAAGTATCACCTTCGATGAGTCAGATGCCGATGGTTTGACTTTCCCTTATAATGATGTATTTGTCATTACTTTAAAAATTTTAGATACCAATGTTAAAAGAATTATGATAGATGGCAGAAGTGGAGCGTGCATCATCCATAACCGAGTCCTCACACAGATGAGACGTGAGGACAAGATAGTGCCATGTTGTATCACTCTAACAGGTTTTAACAATGTAGTTGAACGAACTTCAGGAGAAATCACACTCCTCGTTCTCGCCGGTGGAGTAACTCTAGAGATGACATTCCATATCATGGACCAGGACACTGCATACAATGCCATCGTGAGGCGACCATGGATACACCCCATGAGAGCTGCCCTCTCCAATTTATACCAAGTGATTAAATTCCCAATACCTTGGGGAATATTCAGCATATGGGGAGAACAACGTACATCTCGGGAATGCTACCGAATCGTCATGGACATCACGATAACTCAACAAAATAAGGAAAAAGAAAAGGAAGCATAGCAATCAGCAGGGTTGAGGTCACCTTAAGGCGAAGCCGAGGAAACTATTATGGATCCAAAGACGGTCGAAGCCGCTGAATCAACCATAGAGAACCTCGACCTCGTTCAATTAGATCATAACGACCCCGGTAAAAAGGCCTACATCGGCTGCAAACTCTGAGAACTAGGTAAATTTAGTCAATTCTGAATAATTAATGTAGATTTGTTTGCCTTTAGTCATGCAGACATGCCAGGTATCCCCAAAGAAATCNCGATAAGGCAGGTCCGATAAAAGTTCAACCTTGCCATCAATGAGGCCGTCAACGAAGAAGTAGAGAAGTTATTAGCAAAAGGCTCCATCAGGGAGGCGAAGTACCCCAAATGGATAGCCAATGTGGTGATGGTGAAAAAGAAAAATAGGAAATGGAGAATGTGTGTGGACTTCACAGACCTAAATAAGGCATGCCCAAAGGATTCATTCCCACTACTACACATCGGCCAACTCATCGACGCAATGGACGGGCACGAGCTGTTAAGTTTCCTGGACGCCTATTCAGGTTTTAACCAAATACTCATGAAGGAAGAGGACAAAGAGATAACCACATTCATCACCCATATGGAAACATATTATTATAGGGTCATGCCATTTGGGTTGAAGAACGCAGCGGCCACCTATCAAAGGTTGGTCACAAAGATGTTCAAAGATCAACTCGACAAAACCATTAAGGTATATATAGATGACATGCTGGTCAAGTTCGTGAAGGCAGAGGATCATATCGACCACCTAAAGGAAGCTTTCGATATACTAAGAAAGTGCGAAATGAAATTAAACCTTGAGAAATGCATGTTAGGCATAGCCTCAAGAAAGTTTTTAGGTTTCTTGGTATCACAGTGAGGGATTGAGGTAAACTAAGATAAAATCAAGGTTATCGACGGGATACCAGAACAATTGACCACTAAAAATCAAGTCCATAGACTGTCAGGTTGAATTGTCGCCCTATCCAGATTCATCTCGCGGTCATCTGATATATGTCGCAGGTTTTTCAACGTACTAAAAAGGGATAACGGCCCCGAGTGGATGCCCGAGTGTGTACAATCACTATAGGAACTGAAGGCGTACTTGTCATCACTACCCCTACTCTCAAAACCTGAACCGGGGGAGCGCCTCCCCGTCTACCTCGCCGTCTCGGAAGTAGCAGTAAGTGCGATCTTAATTCGAGAAAACAAAGGTACGCAATCTCTAATCTATTATATCAGGTAAACATTTGTCAATGCCGAGACGAGGTACCATCACCTTGAGAAACTAGCCTTGGCCCTGGTCGTAGCTTCACGAAAGCTTAGACCCTATTTTCAATGCCACCCTATCTCAGTCGTCACCACTTTTCCTTTAAGAAGCATATTACACAAACTCAAGTTGTTGGGGAGGCTGGACAAATGGGTCATCGAGTTAAGCGAGCAAGACATCGTTTATCAGGCTCGCACAACGATAAAGTTGCAAGTACTCGCCGACTTCGTCGCAAATTTTAGCGCAAAAGTAATGCCGAAGGTTGAAAAAGAAGCCACTCAGGCTTCTCTTCAGACATAAGACCTTTGGGTCCTGTACACCGACGGTGCATCCAATGCATGTCGGTCCGGGATGGGACTCGTACTCGAGGTCCCCACGGGGGAGATAATTTACCAATACATAAGATGCTCCGACATGACTAATAACGAGGTCTAGTATGATACTGTAATTGCAGGATTAAGACTGGAACTCAAGTATGGAGTGAAGCGATTAAAACTTTGTTGCGATTCTCAGCTCGTAGTCAACCATGTTACTAGGACTTTTCAAATCAAAGAGCAGAGGTTGTAGAAATATCAGACCGAGATATAAAGATTGTTACCCAATTTCGACGAGTGCCACATCAACCAAATTCCACGAAATCAGAATGTCGAAGCAGACGGTCTTGCCAAGTTGGCCGCCGCTACCAAAAGTGTAACCCTGGGGGATAAGAGTATAGTTCACCTCCTCAGCTCAGCATTGGACCATATCGAGGTAAAATCTGTAATTCTAACTTGGGACTAGTGAAATTGTATTATAAGCTATTTGCAGGACGACATCCTCCCAAACGACAAAAAGGAAGCCAAAAAGTTGAGAATGCAAGCTGCCAAGTACAAACTCCTTCATAATAACTTATACAAGAGAACATATGACGGTCCCTGGGAAAAATGCTTAGGCCCGACTAAACCCAATGCGTCATCGATAAAGTCCATGAAGGTCACTACGGCAGTCGCTCAGGTGACCGAGCCCTCGTCAAATGCCTGATACGGGCTGGGTACTAATGGCCCACCATGAAAAATGATACCCTAGGATTCGTGAAGAAATGCGAGCAGTGTCAAAAATATGCCCCGATAATTCACCAAGTAGATGAGCACGTCCACTCTATCACTTCTCTGTGGCCTTCATTAAATGGGGAATGGACATCATGGGACCACTACAACCAGAACGAGGTAACGTAAAATTTCTTTTAGTTTTAACTGACTATTTCTCTAAGTGGGTGGAAGCAAGAGCATTCGCCCAAGTACGTGAGCAAGAGGTAATTACCTTCATATGGAAAAACATCAGTTGCCGATTCAGCCTACCCAAAGAGATAAGTTGTGATAACGGGCCCCGGTTCACGGGAAGAAAAACCACTGAGTTCTTCGAAAAATAGCACATTAAGAGGATACTTTCAACTCCTTATCAACTAGCTGACAATGGGCAAGAGGAATCCTCCAATAAGTCCATACTGAACATCATGAAAAAGAAACTCGAAGAGGCTAAGGTACTGTGGCCGGAAATACTCCCAGAAGTATTATGTGCACATAGAACCACCCCGAAGACGAGCACAAGAGATACACCTTATTATCTAGACTATGGAACAGAAGCAGTTATATTGGTTGAGGTCAAGAACCCAGCCCGAGGCACTCCCATAAAAGCATTACCAACAAGGACGAGAGTAGGAGGCAAGATCTCGACGAAGTCGATGAGCGAAGAGATATGGCATACATAAGTATGGTTGCCCAGAAACAACAAGAAGAGCGTTACTATAACAAAAAGGCAAAGGTCCAACTGCTCAAGATTGGGGACTACGTATTCAAAGCCAAAACACAAGCAAAAAAGGATCCATGAGAAGGTAAGTTGGGAACTAATTGGGACGGACCATATAAAATCATAGCCAAAGCAGACAAGGGTTCATACCAACTGGAAACCATGGAAGGGAAACCCCTTCCAAACAATTGGAATATCAGCCACCTCAAGTACTTTAACTTCTAAAAAATAAGAAATGCCCTGTAAGTCGTACTCTTTTTTCCCTTACTTGAGTTTTGTCCCAATAGGGTTTTCTCAATGAGGTTTTTAATGAGGCGACGAATGGGACACATCGAGTTGAAGTACACGAGAGCTGACCAATTTTTCACTGTCCGACTCCTCAAGATTTTCCAAGCCAAACAATGAAGGGACCAGATGTACTGGGACCGGAACGCCAGCAAACACCCAAAACTTGTAACTTTCTCCAAAATTTGCCTAAGGGAAAAATAATGTAATCAGAGCAACAACGTCACATTTATAGAAGTACATCTTTATCAAAACTGCTCTAATAAAAGGTTAAGTTCGACCAACCTCGAACAACACCTATCGGCCCTCGGCCACGATTTAATGAAAGGTAACATTCAACCAAGTTCGAACAACACCTATCGGCCCTCAGCCACAATTTAATGAAAGGTTAAGTTCGACCAAGTTTGAAAACCACCTATCGGCCCCTCGGCTACGACCTAACTTAAAGGTACATTCGACCAGCTTGAACAACACCTATCGACCCCTGGCCACATCTCAACTAAGAGACATACTCGACTTGTTTAAATAAAGGGTCAATAAGGCACACGACTATTCGCTCCAAAGGGTACGTCCACCTAGAGGATAACAACAAAAGGAATAAATAAGAAAAATATGCAAGTACAGAAATTAAACATGCAAGTACAGAAACAATACGCAGAAATGAAAAAGGTGCGTATAAAGCAAAAGTCAACTTTGATATTCAGATGAAGAGTTTCTACAAGAGCGCTCGAAAACGCCAACAAAAAATATACAAGTTAAAACAAAAACTAATATCCATCACTATCCCGGCCTCTGACGCCCTCTCCATCCTCGTCTTGACCGTGAGCGGAGTCATACCAAGCACCATCCGTGATCCGGTCTATACCCTCTTACCCATCCTCCTTAAAACCAGGTTGAGACATGGCAGGATCATAATCACAAGAGAACCGAGCCTCACGAGCTTTAACTCGAGCATCCTCGAGGGCTGTCTCATTAATAGAGATCGTCGTATTCAAATCACGGAGCATATCCAGCCGGGCTTCAGCATGGATCCACTCCTCGTACAATTCCCGAGGAATGTTAGGACACTCAGAAGCATTAGATGAAGAGGGTCGAGCAAGAAGTTGGGCCTTCTTGGCCTCAAGAGCAGCAACTCGATCATGCAACTCAGAGTTTTCCTTGTCTAGCTACCCAATCCTCTCCTCAAATCGGTCCTCTTTAGCCCTAGCCGTTGATAGATCATTATCCCGCTCAGAACGGAAAGTCTTTTTTGCCAGCTCGAGAATATCAATCTTTCTCCGAGCATCCAGTCGGGAAGACTCTGCCTGCTTGAGCATTTGTTGCTTCTCAGCGACCTCCCCCATGAGAGTGTCGGTTTCAAGATAGCATCCATCCAGATGGCTTCGTAGTTGAACCAACTGAGTCTGTAGGTAGCTGTATTGGGCCTCCTCTCCCTTACTTAGCTCGAGCTCTTCTTCTTTTCTCTTCAACGCTCCCTCAAGAAAGCTGAATCTCTCCACTGCCGCCATTAGCTCCTCATCCTTTTTTCTTCAGTTCTTCTCTCAAGCTAGCATGTCACCCTCCTAGCGAAGCTGCCTCCGAAGGTCACAGTACTTTCCACGGTACTCTTCATACTTACTCTTCAACTTCATGTAAATTTCTTTACATCTCTTTTCCCTCCGAGCACT